GCCCCTAAAAAAATATCTTCAGGGGCCACTTTGGCCCTCCAGTAAAATTTTCTGGCTGAAACACTGTTTAACCAATCATATCATGATACCAGGAGCTGGTATCATAGAACGGCGGCTCAATAGAATGTCTACAGGCTCCCTCGCTTCGTTCGGGCTCACCAGGAGCCTGTTTGCAGGCTAGTTAGAGAGAATATACTAGAAAACACAACATTACTAGTAATGCATTACCTATATCTGGAAGACCTCTTCTGAGAGTCGGTATCACTCATACTGTGCCCACTACTCACACTAGCGGTGTCAGGAGCTGGTGAACTCTGCTTGACTTTTTCTTCATAAGCTGGGTCACAGAACTTGAAAGTGTGAAGCTTGCCAAACTTGATCACACTACCATGGTTTAGCCTGGTTGACTCGTAGATCCTCCTACCATCTACGTATATTTCTGCATCACTACTAGTCCGCTCAACAGAGACAATACCATCCATGTTGGTTATCACACAATGACGAGGCAGAATATGGGGTGCAAATAACTCCAGATAACTATTCGAAGAGGACATTGACTTATCACTACCAACCTCTGTTATTTCCATGGGAAGTCGGTGAATATTTGGCTTGTAATCCAACTCACGGCCATCAGATGACATCTCCCTCAAGTAAGGCAACAAATGCTCTGGAAATGAATTTGCGAGTCTTTCGCCTATTGCTTTATCTGAGATGCTTTCCGTAGGTACTCTAGATGGTGACTTTGACCTTCTCTTTTGTCTTCTGTGCTGTGGCAAGTTTGCTCTGCGGCGCAGATGGAAAACAACATGCCCTTCCTGTTTAGGCCAATGGGCAGCAATAGCCAGCGGATTGTCCTCATCATGAACAACCCTTTCTTTTCCGAGTGTAGCTCCTCCATTTTGTCCTCCAGGAGGTATGTTTACCATCACAAGACAGTATTCCTCAGGATTTTCTTTTTCCATTTGGTATTTTTCTAATGCTTCTTTCACAACATGTGTGGTTGGATCACGCATTGAAACAAGAAGAGTCTTGTATGGGATCTCCGGCTTCAAAGTTTCAGCAAAGATTTTCAATGTTCCTCCACTGTCTGACCCTCCCTCACTATTTTGAAATTCTTGTAGCTTACGTTCAAGTTTTCGTTGACGACGCATTTTCATGACAATTTCAGGGTTAGAGATGCTTCTTGTGAAGCTGGTTTCCGGTAATTCATCATAAAGTATTTGTGCAATAGCAGAGTCATCACTGGACTTAGTGGGAGAGGAAGGTCCACGTAGCTGAGCTTTCTTGGCCTCTTCTTCTCTTTTCTTTTTAAGTTCTTTTTTCTCTCTCTTTGACAATTTCCTCTTGAAACTCTGGCCAGGATCATTTTCATTGTCAGTAGCAAACACATTAGTAGCTACCAGGGCTTCTTGATCACTCTTGAGCAAAAATCGTCCTTCTCTGTCATCTTGCTGCCATGCCAGTTGGACAGCTAAAGGCCTGTCGTCTTTTCCAAGTTTTCTGGACTCTGCAGATAAAGAAGAAAAGCAATTATATTTGAAGTTTACCCTATGCGCAGAGTCCTCCACAACATAAGAGAAAGTCAAAATACTCTTCCTTGTTCTGGCTTTCCTACAACAATAAATAAAGGACACTGTTCACCGGGTGATCATGAGAGACTGTCAAATCTAGAGTCAACAAATTAGTATGGATGAAATCCAAACTAGTGTACATTTAAATGAATTAGCTACTAAGCAGTAAAGTTCAACCTCTTCACCCAGGAGACTGAAGGAGCTGAACTGAGTGTCCATATCACGTAGCTAACTGTATTATAGACTGAGGTGGAAATTATAAAAACTCTAGTTTTCCTAGGACAAAGTGAATATAGAGGTGTCTGTATGGCAAGGATTACTTTCAAGTAGTAGTTTACATGTATTGGTCCTAACTTGTACTAGCCAATGAATATTCCTTAGACATGACCATTCAAAGGAAAACTACTGCGCCATTCTCTCATGTGGTTCAACTGTTACCATTCTGTGTAATGGGTTTTTAAATCGAGCTTATGAACAATCCTAGTATTATTGAGCATAACTTTCATGTTGCAATATTTGTTTTGAATATTCTGAATATTGTGTAAACAGGTTATTTTAAAGACAAGTCAATTCTGTAAAGTGTCGCTTACATTGCTATAGAATCATAACATGTAATTATAGGGTAACCCTCATTTCTCCTTATTATATCTTTAAAGTTTCATTAGCAGCCAAGAAATGCTGATATTGTCTTCGGCTAATAAGAAAATATACAGCAGTCAAGTTTTAATCTGAAATGGATACACATCAAAACAAACTAATGTAACAACATGGTTTATCTACTTGGCGAAAGACACTCTTGTTTCAGACAACTTGTCTGCTCTATCTTGTTTCTGTATGTTAGCCTGCAATGTACAGATGTATGTATACTTTTGCCTGAGCACTTAAAAGTTTATATCCTAATCTATTTGGAGGTAGACAGGGGCTGTGGCAATGTCTTGGAGGACAATGTCTAGCCAAAGCAAGATGAGACAACACGCAGTTGTTTACCATAGGAAGATTAAATATAGTATTTATGGTAAGCTGCTATTCCTGTTCTGGCCAATATTACTAATATTTACAACATGGAGAGAAGCAAAGCCTAGCAGCAAAAGATATTGCCACATTATCATCACTATTTCAATCTTTATCTAACTGTTAGCGCAAAGACAACATTTAATTCAACATTAACTGCAAAAACTTCCTCTAATTACACCTGGCTTAGATCGAACTCGTTCGCTTTCCGATAAAGAATGCCACAAATTCCCAATCAGGAAATATGACACAAGCAACAAATACCAAGATATTTATGGAGAATCAGCCGATCGTGCTGTAAGTAAAAATATTATAAATTCAAAGCAAAGTTACCAAGTTACCTAAGAAAGCTTTTTTAGGAATCGAACTTGCAACCTAATGAATATGCTCGAGGTTATTTTAATTAATTTTTCATTCTAAAAGGAAGCTTATTCTCGGAGTGTGAGAAAGGAAATAGACGGACATCTAGCGAAAGAAATTCTTGCTCGTACCACTTGACGCAGTAGCTACAAGTTACACGAAATGTAAAACTGGGCGTTTTGTGGTTTTGTTGTTCACTCCGGTCAAGCTGCGTTTAAGCTTGGTCGATTGCATCAATAAACAAGAGTACAACTTCATTCGATCGTGCTAGAAAAGTTAATACGTTAGTAAGGCAGATAGTGTGAATTACAGCGTCGGAAATACAATAGCAGCCGGCCTAAAGACAAAGCAATTTTCCAAAATCGAAAAACTAACCGATAAATATACAGACTGTGCTGTTTAACTGTAATAATTTGCCACCGAAAACCCATCGTAGCGGGAAACCAGACGTGAAATTTACAAGCCCACCACACGCGAACCTAACTCACTTGGCTCACATCTATGAGGTTTCTTACCTCCGTTCGGATGGACTTCATAAAGAGAGTAATTCGGATTTGAAAGCATCTTCATATCCGGACGAAATTTTTCCACCAAGGTTCTCGTAACATCCTCCGCTGTTTCCACGCTGGTAACGCGGACACACTTTGTGGCCATTTTTGCTCCAGCATCTTGGAAGAAAAACCGCATCACACCGCGGTACTCTAAGTCCTGTGAAATGAACATTGTAAGTTGTATCAGTGCAAACCCGGTGTGCACTAACATGGTATCTTCGAGAAGAGGGAAAATTATATTACGAACAGTCAACATTATAGTGTTAAACACCCGTGTGCGTCAAAACCTACTTCATTGGGCTCGCTTATTTCAAAGATGTCCAAACGACTCGCGTTCCATAAGGCAATCAGTTTTCGCAAATATTCCCGTTCTTCTTGCTTCGTTCGAATCACTTCCATGTTGCTTAATTGTTACGAGGCTTCTATCACATCCTAGGAAGACGCTTGGACTGCTGGAAGAGTAATTTAATTCGATTTGAGTAACAAATACGCATTTACACACGAGCGAGACTGTCTGACTTCAAACGGACTCCATCGACCGGACGAATATATCCCACAACCACCGACAACGATGACAAGAATGCATAATTACCGATCATGAGTTCTGCTTGTGATTGGTCGGTGGACAAACGGAATTCATCGTCGCTTGCATGCTGAGTACGTTTCTTGCGGGGGTGGGTGGGGCTGTCAGGAGCTATTTTAGAAACCTGCGTGTACCCGATTTATTTAGTGAATGTATATTGATTTACTTTCATGGTGAATAAAGAATCAATTGGTCAGTAAGAACTTGTCGGAGGTTTCCTGAGAGCAGATATTCAAAAACGCGCTTTCTTGCGTTCCATGCGGTGAAAATATAATTCGAAATCAGACAATCTAGAAGTCGCACGACTTCATTTGAACTTTCTATTTTCTTTCAGAACAATACTGATTATTACAGATTATTCAAATCAAAGTTTGTACAAAGGGTGGCACGACCCAAGCCGATCATGCATAAAAGACAATTAAAACGATTATTATTTTATGCCCCCAAGACAGAAAATATTTCCAAATGCAGATAAAGTGAAGTGAGTTACATTGTTTGGTTTCTTGATGTTTACTTTCCAGATGATATCAGCGGGAAAGAGATCGGGAGCCAATTCTGGATGGGTGAGGTTAAGCTCGACTTATCTTCAAAGATCTTTAACCGAAAAGAAGCTTGCTTGTCGGAAGAACACCCCAAATTAAACGGACCAAACCGCGAAGAGGAATGTATTCTGAGTGACTTGGATTTCACAGCGATGATGTCATCTTTCAGACCTTTTATACAACGGTACCGGAAATAATGCCAAATATTAGTTCATCATTTAACCCCTGTCATTACGCTCGAGTTAACGCCATGATTCACTGATGAAAATTTTTGATCAAAAGAGCTTTGCTGCTTAAATATTCGCGCTTTTTTAGACTTATTTTCTCTTGATTTTGATGACTAAGTTTACTGATGAAAACGGCACTGAAAAATAAAATCCTAAACTGTTTTGAACAAAAACATATTACCCAGTGAAACTGTTCTTTTTTCCGCGTAGGAATTAAGTTTCAATAAAATTCGTTCCTGAGCCTCAATAAAAATTCGAAGCATTTGTGACCTAAAACAGTTGATCTGTGACCTTGAGCGTGTGTCGTTTTTGTTTTTCCAAACAAAAAAGAAACATCCGACTCTTAAGTTTCATTTTCTTATCTCCTCCAGTAAGAAATGGAATGGTTTTAGAAGATCTGTTCTTCGTATGTAGTGACACGGAAAGGTATTTTTAACTACACTTTGCAAGCATCCCTGCATAAACTCTTCCAGTGGAAAGAATCGAAGTGTGGCGCTGGTATATACATGACGAGTTGTTGCCATTGCGTCATCACGTAAAACTGTGCTATCTTCAGTGACTGTACGTCACTTGTACATCAATTAACTTTATCGCAGACCATGTAAAGATATTACAAATACTTGGGAAGTTTGGACAGTTGCCAAATTCCACTGACAGAATTAACCCGGGTTACTTTCTTTTTAATACTTCTTGAAGGGTGCAGAGGTAATGGGTGGAGATGGGTGAGGGATTAGGAGGGTTAATTCTGGCACCACACCGAAAATAAAAGTTCCATTTCACGTGTCATCACAGTAATAACTTTGACTTTCAGTAATAAATTACTAACTTTCATTTTATCAGGAAAGGGCCATTATATTTCTTAGTAAGGAGAAGGGGCAGGGGTTTGGCTGGGGCAACTTTTCTCAGCAAGAATTTTTGGTTTTCACCGTCAGGTTGTACCAGAATCTTGTTCCGTTTGTTTTGGCTTGGTTTGTTTTGTTTTGTCTTGTTTGTTTTTTGGCGTGACTCGTTTTGCATTATATTTTGTCACTTTCTTGTGTATGGATATTTTTTTAGTAATTGTCCATGCTCCCCTTTTAAAAATATTATCGTTTATCCGTTAATGGCGATGACCACAACTAAAAGTTCACGGTCGTCACGGAAAGCTAAAACTATATTTCCGTTTCACGACATGAATTATTATACCTGCGCTACCTGACTTCGTTAAATCTCGATAAGTCATGATAAGTAGCTCACCCGTTTTTAAGCCCACTCAGTTATAACCTTATCTGTCTACTTGCGAACAAAAATATTCTGGTCCCAAACCCCCCTCCCCTTATTTTTTCCTTAGATAAGTTCTCCCTCGTCCGGCTATTCCTTATCAACTTACCCGTAGGAGTTTGATACGGGGAGGTTCCTTCGCGAAGTCCAAACTTATACCCTTTTATAGAACATTTTTAGACAAAAAAGGTAGCCCTTACGTATACCTACCATAGAGGATGTTAACCCCTTCACATACCTACAATACCCACCCTAAAAAAGTCCTGCAGAAATCTTTCTACTCTAAAAGGTCCACCAGAAAATGTCTACCCTAAAAAATATCCAAATCGTTAATTTTAAACCCAAAAAGGCCTTACGAGATCTTTCAAAATGCTTTTTTTACATACCGAAATGACCGGTTTTCTACCCTTTTCTGTAGTTAGTGGTGAAACCCTGTACCCACTTATATGCCTTCAGCCGGGAAAAGGACCCCTCTCGGGCGGAGCCCCCCTATTGACCATTTCAAGGAGTCCCATCGAGCACCCGACAAGTTTCACCCTACATCCAATTCACGCAGGTTACATCAAGACCGCCTTCACACCTCAGACACCTGGGCCCAGAAAAAAGAAAAAGATCATCACAAGCAAACCTGTTGAAAAGCCACGCTCATATGAATGCTTTCTTTTCTCCTAATGGACTGATAAAAGGTGTGCGCTACGTATGGATATAACGAAAGGTACGCAGTTCTTATAGGAAAAATGTCCGATATAGAAAAGTAAAAAAACAAAACGTTCACTATAATCCACAAAAGTAAGTAAATAATGTTTTCCAAAAGAACAGATGATGGAGGGGGGATTGGGATTTTCGGTTTTGCGGTTTTGGCTATTTTTTAGATCGGTTTTTCGGTTTTTGTGCCAAAAGACTTCGGTTTTTCGGTTTTGGGGTTCATTGCGGTTTGTGGATTTTGCGTTTTTTAGCATCTGGTTTTCGGTTTTCGTAAAAAATACTAGCGGTTTTCCGGTTTTGGTATCCGATGTGGTTTTTGGTGTTTCCTATTTTGTCCTATTCGGATTCCGGTTTCTCTTCGATTTGAATAGCCGCAAATCGCCAAACTTATTGAGAGGAATGCGTGACAAACTAACTGTCACGATAGGGGATCACGCGTCTCGAATGACGCCCGAAAATTTGACCTCGCAGACCAAGGGCGACCATTTGGTTAGTTTCCAACGTACCTCCCGCGCCAGCAACGGAAGAAGCAATTGTAGATTGTGCTACGTTTCTTTTTACGAGGAGGGGAAAGGTGGCGAGAATTTTCAAAAGAAAAACACGTTTAGAGGGAAAGTGAAAAGGGAAGAGAGAAGCTAAAAGATACGAAGGCTTCAGAAAAGTCCATGACATTCACAAATACTTTGATAAAGTCAGTGTTAGTGTAGTTTGATCTGCATGCCCCACTTACACCATTGTATCGGTTTTTGACGGTTTTAGGCGAATTTTTTTGCGGTTTTGCGGTTTTGGATGAATCTTTTCTTCGGTTTTGCGGTTTCTAATATACCCCAATGCCCCCATCATGATGGATAACAATTTTTCTACCGGAGAAAATAACACCAGCTCTCCGGGTATAAAATCTAAATTGTCCAAAGTGCAGAAAATCTTTTTAAAGGAGAAAGTCACTCGTATATTTTTTGCCAACGCTAATAAAATCCTTGCACTAAGTTTAGCCACTCACCGAAGTTTCAGCCTCTATAGTGCAGGTTTTCCTTATGAGATTCGTCTCCAAAGAAGCCGCCACTTTTGAACAGTACTCAAAAGCCAGGCCGCATTTTCATGACGTCATTCCGTCCGAGAGATTTTGTCCAAATGGCTTCCGAAACTATATTATTCTGAACCAAACATGCTCCAAACTCCGAAATGACAGCATTGAAGATAGTGAAGAGGATAATCGCTTGAAAAAAAAAATAGATTTCTCTGAACTTGGGAAGGATGCCAAGTCAGTTGCAGGTTTTCCTCCTTCCCGCCAATTTCGATTCAGACGGAATGACGTCACATAACCACGGCCTGACTGCCAAGACAGTTTATAAAGGGGCGCCTCCGAAGTCGCTTCTTTCGAGACGAATTTCTTCAGGATAGCGGGCACTTCAGAGGCTGAAACTTCGGTGAGTGGAATAGCTGAATGTTTACTTGCTACAGGCGGAGACAAAAAGAGTAAGTTTCTTTAGAGCGACTTTCTCCTTTAAACTGAGGCAGATCTCGAACCCCCTAAATTAAAACAAGAGAACCTTATAACACGCTGACTTGGCCTCAAAATGCCGGTAATCCCATTTCTGAGGACCACAATTTTAAAAATTTTTCGGGAAAGGATGCTCCGGAGACCCCTGAAGGGACTGCCATCGGTGGTCCGTATCTCGATCCCTGCTCTAAAATCCTGTATGGACCCCCAGATTAATCACATTAACAAAGATATAAGAACATCTCTTTAATTCCAAGGGAATATGGGAGCTCTACAAATTTTGACATCACTGTTACAATATTGATGTACAAATGAAAAGTAAAACATTCAAAACTAAATAATCCTGAATACAAATGTGCATAAATTCCATTCATCTATACCCTGTAATCTACCTTGTGTTGGGTGTGATGTTTCACAGATGAGCAGATACTTGGGAGACCTATCACTAAGCTACATTTTTACATAGTCATCAATAAAGTTGATGTAGGGACCTCTGGGAAACTTCATTTGGCAAGTTTGTTGTGAGTTACGGTGAAATCCTAATGAAAAGCTAAAGAATTCAACAACAACAGTGGAAGAAAGATAGAAATGGGGAAACAGCCATACAACATTAAGATATTTACAAACATGGTTATGTAAGACACAGGGGAGCAAGCTTTGGATCCTGTTAAACAGGTTGTGTGGAAAGGGCTGAAAGTAAGCATTATGAAAAAGCTCCAAATAAACCGAGAAGATCGGAACTCCTCACTCTTATGGCATATTACTCAATGGTTATTAATCACACTTATTTTCACACACTACAAATTTGTGGCTCTTGAAATCACAAAAGAATATGTCACTAGTGGTTTCTATTACCGAAAAAAAAGCATTTCACATACATGCACATTGTACAACAGATAATACAATATTTTGAAGAAAGTTCACTTGATAAAAAGACAGTTCTCTAGTACATGGATACTTTCTATAAACACGCTGCAAACATTCAACTGTGTCATTCAACTGTGTCAATGTTAGCACTAATTATAGTCAAAAACATTTCACATGTAAAATATTATGCAAATGGGGACCAAACTGCCTTTCTTTCTACATAAAACTGCAGGCTTAAATGTTATTGTTATAAGAAGAAAAATGTCATTTAGTCCTCTTCAACTTCATCCTCCACCTCCAATTCTTGTTCAGCATCACCGTTTTCTTCATCCCCATTAACTGCCTCTGGACTGTCTTCCTTCTCCTCACCATCAGCTTCAGCATCTCCTTCACCTTCCTCCTCCTGTTCTTCCTTTTCTGGACTCTTTGCAGGAGATTCCTTGTCCTCTTCCTCAGCAGACTTTGATCTTGATCGCTCTTTTTCTTTGGACTGTGAGCGTGATTTAGACTTGCGTGACTTGGAGCGTGACCGTGAACGAGATGAGGAATGGTGGCGCTTCTTTGGAGATTTGGAACGTGACTTGGAGTGGCTGCGTGAACGTGAATGACTTCTGTTACAATCAGGAAAAACTTATTTTTATTTCATTGAAAAGTTCAAGATCCCGGAAATCTCCACACTATTTGGGTGCTCAATCTTAGCTAGAGGAAGAGGACTATCGTAAGCAGATGGAATAACTGAACCCCACATGGTTGCTAAGCAACATTGCTCAAATGATCAACTGTTTTCCTATTGTTCAGCAAGGTAAAGTTCTTGAGGATTTACAAGAGTTAACAAAAAATGTGGCAACTATTGCTCTATTACTCTTTCATGGCCCCAAAACACCCATTTGGACAATCATACTATACCTCTTTTTTCGTTTTGGAGAGCGAGATCGACTGCGGCTGCGTGATCGTCGTGACGTTCTGACCTTTTCCTAGTATAAAAGAGAAAACAATAATAGTAAAATTTTCTGGCTGAAACACTGTTTAACCAATCATATCATGATACCAGGAGCTGGTATCATAGAACGGCGGCTCAATAGAATGTCTACAGGCTCCCTCGCTTCGTTCGGGCTCACCAGGAGCCTGTTTGCAGGCTAGTTAGAGAGAATATACTAGAAAACACAACATTACTAGTAATGCATTACCTATATCTGGAAGACCTCTTCTGAGAGTCGGTATCACTCATACTGTGCCCACTACTCACACTAGCGGTGTCAGGAGCTGGTGAACTCTGCTTGACTTTTTCTTCATAAGCTGGGTCACAGAACTTGAAAGTGTGAAGCTTGCCAAACTTGATCACACTACCATGGTTTAGCCTGGTTGACTCGTAGATCCTCCTACCATCTACGTATATTTCTGCATCACTACTAGTCCGCTCAACAGAGACAATACCATCCATGTTGGTTATCACACAATGACGAGGCAGAATATGGGGTGCAAATAACTCCAGATAACTATTCGAAGAGGACATTGACTTATCACTACCAACCTCTGTTATTTCCATGGGAAGTCGGTGAATATTTGGCTTGTAATCCAACTCACGGCCATCAGATGACATCTCCCTCAAGTAAGGCAACAAATGCTCTGGAAATGAATTTGCGAGTCTTTCGCCTATTGCTTTATCTGAGATGCTTTCCGTAGGTACTCTAGATGGTGACTTTGACCTTCTCTTTTGTCTTCTGTGCTGTGGCAAGTTTGCTCTGCGGCGCAGATGGAAAACAACATGCCCTTCCTGTTTAGGCCAATGGGCAGCAATAGCCAGCGGATTGTCCTCATCATGAACAACCCTTTCTTTTCCGAGTGTAGCTCCTCCATTTTGTCCTCCAGGAGGTATGTTTACCATCACAAGACAGTATTCCTCAGGATTTTCTTTTTCCATTTGGTATTTTTCTAATGCTTCTTTCACAACATGTGTGGTTGGATCACGCATTGAAACAAGAAGAGTCTTGTATGGGATCTCCGGCTTCAAAGTTTCAGCAAAGATTTTCAATGTTCCTCCACTGTCTGACCCTCCCTCACTATTTTGAAATTCTTGTAGCTTACGTTCAAGTTTTCGTTGACGACGCATTTTCATGACAATTTCAGGGTTAGAGATGCTTCTTGTGAAGCTGGTTTCCGGTAATTCATCATAAAGTATTTGTGCAATAGCAGAGTCATCACTGGACTTAGTGGGAGAGGAAGGTCCACGTAGCTGAGCTTTCTTGGCCTCTTCTTCTCTTTTCTTTTTAAGTTCTTTTTTCTCTCTCTTTGACAATTTCCTCTTGAAACTCTGGCCAGGATCATTTTCATTGTCAGTAGCAAACACATTAGTAGCTACCAGGGCTTCTTGATCACTCTTGAGCAAAAATCGTCCTTCTCTGTCATCTTGCTGCCATGCCAGTTGGACAGCTAAAGGCCTGTCGTCTTTTCCAAGTTTTCTGGACTCTGCAGATAAAGAAGAAAAGCAATTATATTTGAAGTTTACCCTATGCGCAGAGTCCTCCACAACATAAGAGAAAGTCAAAATACTCTTCCTTGTTCTGGCTTTCCTACAACAATAAATAAAGGACACTGTTCACCGGGTGATCATGAGAGACTGTCAAATCTAGAGTCAACAAATTAGTATGGATGAAATCCAAACTAGTGTACATTTAAATGAATTAGCTACTAAGCAGTAAAGTTCAACCTCTTCACCCAGGAGACTGAAGGAGCTGAACTGAGTGTCCATATCACGTAGCTAACTGTATTATAGACTGAGGTGGAAATTATAAAAACTCTAGTTTTCCTAGGACAAAGTGAATATAGAGGTGTCTGTATGGCAAGGATTACTTTCAAGTAGTAGTTTACATGTATTGGTCCTAACTTGTACTAGCCAATGAATATTCCTTAGACATGACCATTCAAAGGAAAACTACTGCGCCATTCTCTCATGTGGTTCAACTGTTACCATTCTGTGTAATGGGTTTTTAAATCGAGCTTATGAACAATCCTAGTATTATTGAGCATAACTTTCATGTTGCAATATTTGTTTTGAATATTCTGAATATTGTGTAAACAGGTTATTTTAAAGACAAGTCAATTCTGTAAAGTGTCGCTTACATTGCTATAGAATCATAACATGTAATTATAGGGTAACCCTCATTTCTCCTTATTATATCTTTAAAGTTTCATTAGCAGCCAAGAAATGCTGATATTGTCTTCGGCTAATAAGAAAATATACAGCAGTCAAGTTTTAATCTGAAATGGATACACATCAAAACAAACTAATGTAACAACATGGTTTATCTACTTGGCGAAAGACACTCTTGTTTCAGACAACTTGTCTGCTCTATCTTGTTTCTGTATGTTAGCCTGCAATGTACAGATGTATGTATACTTTTGCCTGAGCACTTAAAAGTTTATATCCTAATCTATTTGGAGGTAGACAGGGGCTGTGGCAATGTCTTGGAGGACAATGTCTAGCCAAAGCAAGATGAGACAACACGCAGTTGTTTACCATAGGAAGATTAAATATAGTATTTATGGTAAGCTGCTATTCCTGTTCTGGCCAATATTACTAATATTTACAACATGGAGAGAAGCAAAGCCTAGCAGCAAAAGATATTGCCACATTATCATCACTATTTCAATCTTTATCTAACTGTTAGCGCAAAGACAACATTTAATTCAACATTAACTGCAAAAACTTCCTCTAATTACACCTGGCTTAGATCGAACTCGTTCGCTTTCCGATAAAGAATGCCACAAATTCCCAATCAGGAAATATGACACAAGCAACAAATACCAAGATATTTATGGAGAATCAGCCGATCGTGCTGTAAGTAAAAATATTATAAATTCAAAGCAAAGTTACCAAGTTACCTAAGAAAGCTTTTTTAGGAATCGAACTTGCAACCTAATGAATATGCTCGAGGTTATTTTAATTAATTTTTCATTCTAAAAGGAAGCTTATTCTCGGAGTGTGAGAAAGGAAATAGACGGACATCTAGCGAAAGAAATTCTTGCTCGTACCACTTGACGCAGTAGCTACAAGTTACACGAAATGTAAAACTGGGCGTTTTGTGGTTTTGTTGTTCACTCCGGTCAAGCTGCGTTTAAGCTTGGTCGATTGCATCAATAAACAAGAGTACAACTTCATTCGATCGTGCTAGAAAAGTTAATACGTTAGTAAGGCAGATAGTGTGAATTACAGCGTCGGAAATACAATAGCAGCCGGCCTAAAGACAAAGCAATTTTCCAAAATCGAAAAACTAACCGATAAATATACAGACTGTGCTGTTTAACTGTAATAATTTGCCACCGAAAACCCATCGTAGCGGGAAACCAGACGTGAAATTTACAAGCCCACCACACGCGAACCTAACTCACTTGGCTCACATCTATGAGGTTTCTTACCTCCGTTCGGATGGACTTCATAAAGAGAGTAATTCGGATTTGAAAGCATCTTCATATCCGGACGAAATTTTTCCACCAAGGTTCTCGTAACATCCTCCGCTGTTTCCACGCTGGTAACGCGGACACACTTTGTGGCCATTTTTGCTCCAGCATCTTGGAAGAAAAACCGCATCACACCGCGGTACTCTAAGTCCTGTGAAATGAACATTGTAAGTTGTATCAGTGCAAACCCGGTGTGCACTAACATGGTATCTTCGAGAAGAGGGAAAATTATATTACGAACAGTCAACATTATAGTGTTAAACACCCGTGTGCGTCAAAACCTACTTCATTGGGCTCGCTTATTTCAAAGATGTCCAAACGACTCGCGTTCCATAAGGCAATCAGTTTTCGCAAATATTCCCGTTCTTCTTGCTTCGTTCGAATCACTTCCATGTTGCTTAATTGTTACGAGGCTTCTATCACATCCTAGGAAGACGCTTGGACTGCTGGAAGAGTAATTTAATTCGATTTGAGTAACAAATACGCATTTACACACGAGCGAGACTGTCTGACTTCAAACGGACTCCATCGACCGGACGAATATATCCCACAACCACCGACAACGATGACAAGAATGCATAATTACCGATCATGAGTTCTGCTTGTGATTGGTCGGTGGACAAACGGAATTCATCGTCGCTTGCATGCTGAGTACGTTTCTTGCGGGGGTGGGTGGGGCTGTCAGGAGCTATTTTAGAAACCTGCGTGTACCCGATTTATTTAGTGAATGTATATTGATTTACTTTCATGGTGAATAAAGAATCAATTGGTCAGTAAGAACTTGTCGGAGGTTTCCTGAGAGCAGATATTCAAAAACGCGCTTTCTTGCGTTCCATGCGGTGAAAATATAATTCGAAATCAGACAATCTAGAAGTCGCACGACTTCATTTGAACTTTCTATTTTCTTTCAGAACAATACTGATTATTACAGATTATTCAAATCAAAGTTTGTACAAAGGGTGGCACGACCCAAGCCGATCATGCATAAAAGACAATTAAAACGATTATTATTTTATGCCCCCAAGACAGAAAATATTTCCAAATGCAGATAAAGTGAAGTGAGTTACATTGTTTGGTTTCTTGATGTTTACTTTCCAGATGATATCAGCGGGAAAGAGATCGGGAGCCAATTCTGGATGGGTGAGGTTAAGCTCGACTTATCTTCAAAGATCTTTAACCGAAAAGAAGCTTGCTTGTCGGAAGAACACCCCAAATTAAACGGACCAAACCGCGAAGAGGAATGTATTCTGAGTGACTTGGATTTCACAGCGATGATGTCATCTTTCAGACCTTTTATACAACGGTACCGGAAATAATGCCAAATATTAGTTCATCATTTAACCCCTGTCATTACGCTCGAGTTAACGCCATGATTCACTGATGAAAATTTTTGATCAAAAGAGCTTTGCTGCTTAAATATTCGCGCTTTTTTAGACTTATTTTCTCTTGATTTTGATGACTAAGTTTACTGATGAAAACGGCACTGAAAAATAAAATCCTAAACTGTTTTGAACAAAAACATATTACCCAGTGAAACTGTTCTTTTTTCCGCGTAGGAATTAAGTTTCAATAAAATTCGTTCCTGAGCCTCAATAAAAATTCGAAGCATTTGTGACCTAAAACAGTTGATCTGTGACCTTGAGCGTGTGTCGTTTTTGTTTTTCCAAACAAAAAAGAAACATCCGACTCTTAAGTTTCATTTTCTTATCTCCTCCAGTAAGAAATGGAATGGTTTTAGAAGATCTGTTCTTCGTATGTAGTGACACGGAAAGGTATTTTTAACTACACTTTGCAAGCATCCCTGCATAAACTCTTCCAGTGGAAAGAATCGAAGTGTGGCGCTGGTATATACATGACGAGTTGTTGCCATTGCGTCATCACGTAAAACTGTGCTATCTTCAGTGACTGTACGTCACTTGTACATCAATTAACTTTATCGCAGACCATGTAAAGATATTACAAATACTTGGGAAGTTTGGACAGTTGCCAAATTCCACTGACAGAATTAACCCGGGTTACTTTCTTTTTAATACTTCTTGAAGGGTGCAGAGGTAATGGGTGGAGATGGGTGAGGGATTAGGAGGGTTAATTCTGGCACCACACCGAAAATAAAAGTTCCATTTCACGTGTCATCACAGTAATAACTTTGACTTTCAGTAATAAATTACTAACTTTCATTTTATCAGGAAAGGGCCATTATATTTCTTAGTAAGGAGAAGGGGCAGGGGTTTGGCTGGGGCAACTTTTCTCAGCAAGAATTTTTGGTTTTCACCGTCAGGTTGTACCAGAATCTTGTTCCGTTTGTTTTGGCTTGGTTTGTTTTGTTTTGTCTTGTTTGTTTTTTGGCGTGACTCGTTTTGCATTATATTTTGTCACTTTCTTGTGTATGGATATTTTTTTAGTAATTGTCCATGCTCCCCTTTTAAAAATATTATCGTTTATCCGTTAATGGCGATGACCACAACTAAAAGTTCACGGTCGTCACGGAAAGCTAAAACTATATTTCCGTTTCACGACATGAATTATTATACCTGCGCTACCTGACTTCGTTAAATCTCGATAAGTCATGATAAGTAGCTCACCCGTTTTTAAGCCCACTCAGTTATAACCTTATCTGTCTACTTGCGAACAAAAATATTCTGGTCCCAAACCCCCCTCCCCTTATTTTTTCCTTAGATAAGTTCTCCCTCGTCCGGCTATTCCTTATCAACTTACCCGTAGGAGTTTGATACGGGGAGGTTCCTTCGCGAAGTCCAAACTTATACCCTTTTATAGAACATTTTTAGACAAAAAAGGTAGCCCTTACGTATACCTACCATAGAGGATGTTAACCCCTTCACATACCTACAATACCCACCCTAAAAAAGTCCTGCAGAAATCTTTCTACTCTAAAAGGTCCACCAGAAAATGTCTACCCTAAAAAATATCCAAATCGTTAATTTTAAACCCAAAAAGGCCTTACGAGATCTTTCAAAATGCTTTTTTTACATACCGAAATGACCGGTTTTCTACCCTTTTCTGTAGTTAGTGGTGAAACCCTGTACCCACTTATATGCCTTCAGCCGGGAAAAGGACCCCTCTCGGGCGGAGCCCCCCTATTGACCATTTCAAGGAGTCCCATCGAGCACCCGACAAGTTTCACCCTACATCCAATTCACGCAGGTTACATCAAGACCGCCTTCACACCTCAGACACCTGGGCCCAGAAAAAAGAAAAAGATCATCACAAGCAAACCTGTTGAAAAGCCACGCTCATATGAATGCTTTCTTTTCTCCTAATGGACTGATAAAAGGTGTGCGCTACGTATGGATATAACGAAAGGTACGCAGTTCTTATAGGAAAAATGTCCGATATAGAAAAGTAAAAAAACAAAACGTTCACTATAATCCACAAAAGTAAGTAAATAATGTTTTCCAAAAGAACAGATGATGGAGGGGGGATTGGGATTTTCGGTTTTGCGGTTTTGGCTATTTTTTAGATCGGTTTTTCGGTTTTTGTGCCAAAAGACTTCGGTTTTTCGGTTTTGGGGTTCATTGCGGTTTGTGGATTTTGCGTTTTTTAGCATCTGGTTTTCGGTTTTCGTAAAAAATACTAGCGGTTTTCCGGTTTTGGTATCCGATGTGGTTTTTGGTGTTTCCTATTTTGTCCTATTCGGATTCCGGTTTCTCTTCGATTTGAATAGCCGCAAATCGCCAAACTTATTGAGAGGAATGCGTGACAAACTAACTGTCACGATAGGGGATCACGCGTCTCGAATGACGCCCGAAAATTTGACCTCGCAGACCAAGGGCGACCATTTGGTTAGTTTCCAACGTACCTCCCGCGCCAGCAACGGAAGAAGCAATTGTAGATTGTGCTACGTTTCTTTTTACGAGGAGGGGAAAGGTGGCGAGAATTTTCAAAAGAAAAACACGTTTAGAGGGAAAGTGAAAAGGGAAGAGAGAAGCTAAAAGATACGAAGGCTTCAGAAAAGTCCATGACATTCACAAATACTTTGATAAAGTCAGTGTTAGTGTAGTTTGATCTGCATGCCCCACTTACACCATTGTATCGGTTTTTGACGGTTTTAGGCGAATTTTTTTGCGGTTTTGCGGTTTTGGATGAATCTTTTCTTCGGTTTTGCGGTTTCTAATATACCCCAATGCCCCCATCATGATGGATAACAATTTTTCTACCGGAGAAAATAACACCAGCTCTCCGGGTATAAAATCTAAATTGTCCAAAGTGCAGAAAATCTTTTTAAAGGAGAAAGTCACTCGTATATTTTTTGCCAACGCTAATAAAATCCTTGCACTAAGTTTAGCCACTCACCGAAGTTTCAGCCTCTATAGTGCAGGTTTTCCTTATGAGATTCGTCTCCAAAGAAGCCGCCACTTTTGAACAGTACTCAAAAGCCAGGCCGCATTTTCATGACGTCATTCCGTCCGAGAGATTTTGTCCAAATGGCTTCCGAAACTATATTATTCTGAACCAAACATGCTCCAAACTCCGAAATGACAGCATTGAAGATAGTGAAGAGGATAATCGCTTGAAAAAAAAAATAGATTTCTCTGAACTTGGGAAGGATGCCAAGTCAGTTGCAGGTTTTCCTCCTTCCCGCCAATTTCGATTCAGACGGAATGACGTCACATAACCACGGCCTGACTGCCAAGACAGTTTATAAAGGGGGGCCTCCGAAGTCGCTTCTTTCGAGACGAATTTCTTCAGGATAGCGGGCACTTCAGAGGCTGAAACTTCGGTGAGTGGAATAGCTGAATGTTTACTTGCTACAGGCGGAGACAAAAAGAGTAAGTTTCTTTAGAGCGACTTTCTCCTTTAAACTGAGGCAGATCTCGAACCCCCTAAATTAAAACAAGAGAACCTTATAACACGCTGACTTGGCCTCAAAATGCCGGTAATCCCATTTCTGAGGACCACAATTTTAAAAATTTTTCGGGAAAGGATGCTCCGGAGACCCCTGAAGGGACTGCCATCGGTGGTCCGTATCTCGATCCCTGCTCTAAAATCCTGTATGGACCCCCAGATTAATCACATTAACAAAGATATAAGAACATCTCTTTAATTCCAAGGGAATATGGGAGCTCTACAAATTTTGACATCACTGTTACAATATTGATGTACAAATGAAAAGTAAAACATTCAAAACTAAATAATCCTGAATACAAATGTGCATAAATTCCATTCATCTATACCCTGTAATCTACCTTGTGTTGGGTGTGATGTTTCACAGATGAGCAGATACTTGGGAGACCTATCACTAAGCTACATTTTTACATAGTCATCAATAAAGTTGATGTAGGGACCTCTGGGAAACTTCATTTGGCAAGTTTGTTGTGAGTTACGGTGAAATCCTAATGAAAAGCTAAAGAATTCAACAACAACAGTGGAAGAAAGATAGAAATGGGGAAACAGCCATACAACATTAAGATATTTACAAACATGGTTATGTAAGACACAGGGGAGCAAGCTTTGGATCCTGTTAAACAGGTTGTGTGGAAAGGGCTGAAAGTAAGCATTATGAAAAAGCTCCAAATAAACCGAGAAGATCGGAACTCCTCACTCTTA